GCCTACTATGATCGAAACCAAAAATGCTTTAAATTGCATTTTAAAACATATCTAGGCATTATAAATGATAAAGAATGCTAATATAGATATAAAATCGATAATTTTTTTTGAAAATAGCCTACTATGATCGAAACCAAAAATGCCTTAAATTGCATTTTAAAACATATCTAGGTATTATAAATGATAAAGAATGCTAATATAGATATAAAATCGATAACATTTTTTGAAAATAGCCTACTATGATCGAAACCAAAAATGCTTTAATTTGCATTTTAAAACATATCTAGGAATTATAAATGATAAAGAATGCTAATATAGATATAAAATCGTTAATTTTTTTTGAAAATTGCCTACTATGATCGAAACCAAAAATGCCTTAAATTGCATTTTAAAACATATCTAGGTATTATAAATGATAAAGAATGCTAATATAGATATAAAATCGATAATTTTTTTTGAAAAAAGCCTACTATGATCGAAACCAAAAATGCTTTAAATTGCATTTTAAAACATATTTAGGCATTATAAATGATAAAGAATGCTAATATAGATATAAAATCGATAATTTTTTTTGAAAATAGCCTACTATGATCGAAACCAAAAATGCTTTAAATTGCATTTTAAAACATATCTAGGCATCATAAATGATAAAGAATGCTAATATAGATATAAAATCGATAATTTTTTTTGAAAAAAGCCTACTATGATCGAAACCAAAAATGCTTTAAATTGCATTTTAAAACATATCTAGGCATTATAAATGATAAAGAATGCTAATATAGATATAAAATCGATAACTTTTTTTGAAAATAGCCTACTATGATCGAAACCAAAAATGCTTTAAATTGCATTTTAAAACATATCTAGGCATTATAAATGATAAAGAATGCTAATATAGATATAAAATCGATAATTTTTTTTGAAAATAGCCTACTATGATCGAAACCAAAAATGCCTTAAATTGCATTTTAGAACATATCTAGGTATTATAAATAATAAAGAATGCTAATATAGATATAAAATCGATAACTTTTTTTGAAAATAGCCTACTATGATCGAAACCGAAAATGCTTTAAATTGCATTTTAAAACATATCTAGGCATTATAAATGATAAAGAATGCTAATATAGATAGAATAGAATAGAATAGAATGTAATGTAGGGTTTTGCTCAGAGCAAAAACGGCACTGCGATCGATGATCTGTTGTACCATCCCAAGCCATCTATGATAAAATTCCTATGTCCTTGATGAAGCCAATAATGTCCTGATAGTGCTGCCTACTAGTATCCTCATCATTTATGTAATCCTTATCAAAGTGCTTGACACGTTGTACTCGTAATGCTCTGCATTTACAAAGAATATGAATGATTGTTTCCTCATTTACTTTACAAAACCTGCAAATTTTACTGTTAGACAAATTCAATTTAAAAAGAAAACTATTGATACTCATGTGTCCTGTCAAAGCACCAATTAAGATGCTAAGATCTTTCCTTGGTAGTCTGAGAGCATCAGATATTTTGTTCTTATTTTTAGGACCAAGAAGTCTTTTGGCTGTCATGGCTCCTTCCTCTAAATTCCAGATACGAAAATGCTGTCTCTCCATCCATTCTCGTATGTTTGACTTCAACAAGCCAAACCCATAGTACGTCGACTTGTCATAAGCTTCATTGTGTACTGCTTCTTTAGCTAATTGATCAGCTATTTCATTACCTTCAATACCACTGTGTCCAGGTATCCATTTTATGATGACTTCATTTTCTTGCCCCAATGCTGTTAAACAAGAAATACAATCAAGAACTGTTAAAGACTTCACAACACAATTGTTTAAAGCCGTCAAAGCTGATCGACAATCTGAAAGAAAGCAAATTCTACAGCCTTTCAAATCCATATCCAAACAGTAATTAGCACCCTCACAAATAGCTTGAACTTCTGCCTGAAAGACAGAAGCATGATCTTGCAGTTTGTAGGATGAATTCAAACTCAGCTCATTGCTGAACAGACCGATGCCAACACCACTTTCTGACTTTGATGCATCAGTGTATACAGACATACAATTACTATCCACCAAATCACAAGATTCAGCAGCATTATCTTCTGATTCAACTACCTTAAAAGGTTTGTCAAAAACGTATTTTGACACTAAATGATCCGATTCAAAGGTGAATAAACTTACACTTCTTAGAAACCGATTTAATTCCATGTGACCTGTTGAGATCCAGTCATTAACCCACAATTTATTAACCTTCAATTTGGATGCGCCTGTTTGAGCTGCAGCTTCGATTCTGACTCGAAGTGGGGGAAGCTCAAGGAATCTATCCAAAGCCAGTTTCGGAGTAGTTTTCCAAGCACCGCAAATTGTCAATTCTGCTATTCTTTGCAGTTTCTCAATTTTTTGAGAGGCATTAACTTGTTTCATTTTATGCCACCAAACAACACAACCATACATAATTCTTGGTAGAATGACTTGCTCATACAGCCAATACATCATATTGGGTTTTAATCCCCAGTTTTTACCAACAATTGATCTACAAGCCCAGAAGGACTTAATCACCTTACTTACAACGAAATCTACATGCAAATTCCAGTTTAATTTGCTGTCTAAGTAGACACCAAGATACTTTGCTTCATAACTGAAGTCTATCCTTTGACCGTACATAACTGGACGACGTAGTTCTCCTAATTTGTACTTTGTAGTGAAAGGAATTACAATTGTTTTTGCTGGATTTACTGATAAACCAACCTTTTCACAAAAACCTTCCACAATGTTTAAAGACCTCTGAAAAACATCTAATACTGTATTAGTGAATTTGCCCTTTACTAAAATGAAAATATCATCAGCATAACCTTGGGCAAAGATGCCCCCTGAACCATTTAGATCTACCAATAAGTCATCAATAACTAATGATCACAAAAGACAAGACAAGTTGCCTCCCTGTGGTGTACCACGTTTCACTATGATGAATACGATTTCCCCGTTCAATGATGCTTGAACGATTCGCGATCTTAGCATATTGCTGATCCACTGTACTATACTTTGTGGAACTCCTCTTCGGTGTAAAGCATTTGTGATAACATCGAAGCCAGTGTTGTCGAAAGCACCTTCAATGTCAATAAGGCCTCCCACCATAAATTCCTTGTCGAAGAAACCCTTTTCGATTCTAGATACAATACTATGTAAGGCAGCATCTGTCGATTTACCAGGTTGATAAGCAAACTGATACTTAGACAAAGGCCTACTTAACAGAATTTCATCCCTTATATACCGATCAACTAACTTTTCCAAAACCTTTAATAGGAAGGACATCAAGCTAATCGGTCTAAATGATTTAGCTTCAGCATAAGTGTCTTTACCGGGTTTTGGAATAAAAACAACCTTAACACTCCTCCAAGATTTTGGAATGTACCCTGAGTTCAAACTGTACCTAAATAAATTGAGCAGATAAGGCATTAGCTGTCCTAAACCCCTTTGTAAGAGCACAGGCAGGATTCCATCCTCTCCTGATGACTTAAAAGGCTTTAAAGAATTCACTGCCCAAGCAATTCTTTCTTCAGTAACCACTTCATTTGCCAATAACCCATCGCTGGACGAATCTGTACTCAGCTCACAAAAGTTCAAAGCGTCGTCAACGATTGTTGACCCAGGAAAATGTGTACTCAAGAGTAACTGGAGACTTTCACTGCTGTTATGAGTAAAAGTTCCATCCTGCTTTTTCAGCGCTCCAATTGTCGTATTTACATTACGATTGGCCATTAATTTGTGAATTCTTGCGCAGTCCTCAAATCGTTCAATCTCTTCACATTTATTCCTCCACGAAGCAAGTGCTGCTTCCCTAACAGAACTACTGTACCTGGATAGAGAAACCTTATAGCCAGATCGCAATGAAGCTTCAGCTATACTAAAACCTTGTCTTACTAGCTTTTTGCTTTGATTCCACTTTCTTCTTACAGCCTTTCTCATCTTATCCAATTTTTCATTATACCAATTACATCTTCCTTGCTTACATGGCCTACTGACCTTACAGTTATCAGTGTAAGCTTTTAAAATGGCTTCATTTAAATTATGAGAAAGACACTCTGCTTCATTTTGCGTTGAAATGTTCTTAGTTAAACCTTTTAAATACTCAATTAAGCTACATTTATAACCAATCCAGTCAGTGTTTCTCGGGTTTCTAAAACCCTCCCCAGCAGATTCACTTGACATTACCTCAAAAGTAATGTATCTGTGGTCTGAAAGGGATGGCTCATCCGAAACTCTCCAATCACTGACAGTATTGCATATTCTCCTATTCGAAAATGTGATGTCAATCACCTCCTGTCTGATACTGTTGCTGAAGGTATGTTCATTACCTTCATTCAAAATCATTAATTCGTTAATAAGCAGAAAATCCATAAGACTCTCTCCTCTTTTGTTGGTATCGCTGCTACCCCACACTACATTATGGGCATTAGCATCGCAACCAACAATCAAATTCAAATCATTTCTGTTACAATATTCAACTAAGCTTATGATGTTACTACTTGGAGGTTCATATACCGAATCATAAGGGAAGTATCCACTACAGAAAACAATTTCCACAAAACTTCCCTTCTCATCTTTCAACGATACTTTAACCGTGACCTCGTCAGTGTCAGTGAATTGAGGCAGCACAAAGTACCTCAAATTTTTATTAATTAAAATACAAGCTCTTACTTTACTATTATTTTGTTGGTACAAAATAATTCCTTTTTGAGTTTTAATGTGCACTACATTATCCTTCATATAAGGTTCCTGTATAAGGACTATATCAAATAATCCTTGGTCAAAATGTTTGCTGATCTCTAGCGCAGCTGCTTTGCAATGTTGAAGATTAATTTGACAAATCTTCATAAAAATCAACAGTTGTAGCAGCCACACTAAGTTCCTCATTAAAAAATACAACACAATACATAATAAATAGATTCAAATTAAATTTGATGCAAAGCATTATTTATTTCCAGTTATGATTATTTCTTATGAAAGACTGAGCTAGGTATTGGCAAAATGCCGCCCTAGATATCATCAACTTTATCCTCTACCTCACTCAAACAATCCATGACCTCAATGGCCTCACTAGTAGTAGTGTTGGAATTTGAATCGGTTTTGGCATTTTTGCCGCCCGTTCCAACAACAACCAAATGAAATTTTACCTGAGTGAGTCCATAAGCAAGGTACCAATTCTTGCTTTTAAGAGCTTCAACACTTTCCTCGGCCATCTCCACCATAATATGCCTTCCTTCATTATTAAATTGCCTTTTATTCGATAGAATGCGCCATGAGCGTAAATCGAAATCGGGATTCTGTACTTTGAATCGATGCATAATTAATGAATCTACACTACACTCACCAGGTACAAAAACCCGACATTTTGGTCTCTGAGCCATATCAGCCACATCCATAAGCTCCAAAAAAGAACCTTTGAGTCTCACAAATTGAATAACCTTGATGAGCCATTCCTTTGAGTGTTGACCAATACATTTTATCCTCCAGTGCCCGTCAATTAGCTTTCTCTGATGAAATTGAGGTGCCGATTCACCAACTTTTAGCATGTCAATTTTCTTGAGAAGATGCCTTTCAAGAGCCACGACTCCATTCTCATCAATTATGGTTTCCGGATAATCAACGGGCTTAATAATTACTTCAATACTTTGAAGTACGTCCCTAAAAGATTTTTTATCTTCCTTAGGCCGCTTTGTCATCTTGCTATTCTCAGACGTCTCAGGAGAATCCCGTTGCCTCTTAGTTCTACCGTTCAAATCATCTTCAGACTGTTTGAGACTTTTAGCTCTACGAATTTCTGCTCCACTAGGCTTCTTTCTCACAAACGTATGTCTGAGGTTATAGACTTCCGGATCTTGATTGTTTCCATTCCCTTCTGGTCTCATTTCTTCACAAATCTCCTTCTGCTCGTCTACGGAGATGTCGAGATCAATAAATGCAGACTCAGTCATAGCCACAAAACTTAACTCAATTTTAATTAGTCTAGAAAAATAGAACAAAAGAAAAATTGAGCGCAAAAACTGTTTTACCAAAATGTACTGCTTTAATCACTTCCTAACAATGTTATTTACTTAACTTGATGTATCACCGTACTTTAAATGCAGGACGACTTGAACTTAGACCACAAAAATGTCTTGATTATCTCTAATTAATTAATTTAAAGAGCAATGTAGAAAAATTCTATTAGTCGACCAACTTCCGCACCCCTTGCTCCTCTTATATAGATATAGAATATAGATATAAAATCGATAATTTTTTTTGAAAATAGCCTACTATGATCGAAACCAAAAATGCCTTAAATTGCATTTTAAAACATATCTAGGTATTATAAATGATAAAGAATGCTAATATAGATTTAAACATCGATAACTTATTTTGAAAATAGCCTACTATGATCGAAACCAAAAATGCTTTAAATTGCATTTTAAAACATATCTAGGAATTATAAATGATAAAGAATGCTAATATAGATATAAAATCGATAATTTTTTTTGAAAATAGCCTACTATGATCAAAACCAAAAATGCTTTAAATTGCATTTTAAAACATATCTCGGCATTCTAAATGATAAAGAATGCTTATATAGATATAAAATCGATAATTTTTTTTGAAAATAGCCTACTATGATCGAAACCGAAAATGCTTTAAATTGCATTTTAAAACATATCTAGGCATTATAAATGATAAAGAATGCTAATATAGATATAAAATCGATAATTTTTTTTGAAAATAGCCTACTATGATCGAAACCAAAAATGCTTTAAATTGCATTTTAAAACATATTTAGGCATTATAAATAATAAAGAATGCTAATATAGATATAAAATCGATATTTTTTTTGAAAATAGCCTACTATGATCGAAACCAAAAATGCTTTAAATTGCATTTTAAAACATATCTAGGCATTATAAATGATAAAGAATGCTAATATAGATATAAAATCGATAATTTTTTTTGAAAATAGCCTACTATGATCGAAACCAAAAATGCCTTAAATTGCATTTTAAAACATATCTAGGTATTATAAATGATAAAGAATGCTAATATAGATATAAAATCGATAACTTTTTTTGAAAATAGCCTACTATGATCGAAACCGAAAATGCTTTAAATTGCATTTTAAAACATATCTAGGCATTATAAATGATAAAGAATGCTAATATAGATATAAAATCGATAATTTTTTTTGAAAATAGCCTACTATGATCGAAACCAAAAATGCTTTAAATTGCATTTTAAAACATATCTAGGTATTATAAATGATAAAGAATGCTAATATAGATATAAAATTGATATTTTTTTTTTGAAAAAAGATTACTATGATCGAAACCAAAAATGCTTTAAATTGCATTTTAAAACATTTCTAGGCATTATAAATGATAAAGAATGCTAATATAGATACAAAATCGATAATTTTTTTTGAAAATAGCCTACTATGATCGAAACCAAAAATGCTTTAAATTGCATTTTAAAACATATCTAGGCATTATAAATGATAAAGAATGCTAATATAGATATAAAATCGATAATTTTTTTTGAAAATAGCCTACTATGATCGAAACCAAAAATGCTTTAAATTGCATTTTAAAACATATCTAGGCATTATAAATGATAAAGAATGCTAATATTGATATAAAATCGATAATTTTTTTTGAAAATAGCCTACTATGATCGAAACCAAAAATGCCTTAAATTGCATTTTAAAACATATCTAGGTATTATAAATGATAAAGAATGCTAATATAGATATAAAATCGATAACTTTTTTTGAAAATAGCCTACTATGATCGAAACCAAAAATGCTTTAAATTGCATTTTAAAACATATCTAGGAATTATAAATGATAAAGAATGCTAATATAGATATAAAATCGATAATTTTTTTTGAAAATAGCCTACTATGATCGAAACCAAAAATGCTTTAAATTGCATTTTAAAACATATCTCGGCATTATAAATGATAAAGAATGCTAATATAGATATAAAATCGATAATTTTTTTTGAAAATAGCCTACTATGATCGAAACCGAAAATGCTTTAAATTGCATTTTAAAACATATCTAGGCATTATAAATGATAAAGAATGCTAATATAGATACAAAATCGATAATTTTTTTTGAAAATAGCCTACTATGATCGATACCAAAAATGCTTTAAATTGCATTTTAAAACATATCTAGGTATTATAAATGATAAAGAATGCTAATATAGATATAAAATCGATATTTTTTTGAAAATAGCCTACTATGATCGAAACCAAAAATGCTTTAAATTGCATTTTAAAACATATTTAGGTATTATAAATGATAAAGAATGCTAATATAGATATAAAATCGTTAATTTTTTTTGAAAATAGCCTACTATGATCGAAACCAAAAATGCTTTAAATTGCATTTTAAAACATATCTAGGTATTATAAATGATAAAGAATGCTAATATAGATATAAAATCGTTATTTTTTTTTGAAAATAGCCTACTATGATCGAAACCAAAAATGCCTTAAATTGCATTTTAAAACATATCTAGGTATTATAAATGATAAAGAATGCTAATATAGATTTAAACATCGATAACTTATTTTGAAAATAGCCTACTATGATCGAAACCAAAAATGCTTTAAATTGCATTTTAAAACATATCTGGGTAATTTAAATGATAAAGAATGCTAATATAGATATAAAATCGATAATTTTTTTTGAAAATAGCCTACTATGATCGAAACCAAAAATGTTTTAAATTGCATTTTAAAACATATCTAGGTATTATAAATGATAAAGAATGCTAACATAGATATAAAATCGATAATTTTTTTTGAAAATAGCCTACTATGATCGAAACCAAAAATGCTTTAAATTGCATTTTAAAACATATCTCGGCATTATAAATGATAAAGAATGCTAATATAGATACAAAATCGATAATTTTTTTTGAAAATAGCCTACTATGATCGAAACCAAAAATGCTTTAAATTGCATTTTAAAACATATCTAGGCATTATAAATGATAAAGAATGCTAATATAGATATAAAATCGTTAATTTTTTTTGAAAATAGCCTACTATGATCGAAACCAAAAATGCTTTAAATTGCATTTTAAAACATATCTAGGTATTATAAATGATAAAGAATGCTAATATAGATATAAAATCGTTATTTTTTTTTGAAAATAGCCTACTATGATCGAAACCAAAAATGCCTTAAATTGCATTTTAAAACATATCTAGGTATTATAAATGATAAAGAATGCTAATATAGATTTAAACATCGATAACTTATTTTGAAAATAGCCTACTATGATCGAAACCAAAAATGCTTTAAATTGCATTTTAAAACATATCTAGGTATTATAAATGATAAAGAATGCTAATAAAGATATAAAATCGATCATTTTTTTTTGAAAATAGCCTACTATGATCGAAACCAAAAATGCCTTAAATTGCATTTTAAAACATATCTAGGTATTATAAATGATAAAGAATGCTAATAAAGATATAAAATCGATCATTTTTTTTTGAAAATAGCCTACTATGATCGAAACCAAAAACGCTTTAAATTGCATTTTAAAACATATTTAGGCATTATAAATGATAAAGAATGCTAATATAGATATAAAATCGATCATTTTTTTTGAAAATAGCCTACTATGATCGAAACCAAAAATGCTTTAAATTGCATTTTAAAACATATATCGGCATTATAAATGATAAAGAATGCTAATATAGATATAAAATCGTTAATTTTTTTTGAAAATAGCCTACTATGATCGAAACCAAAAATGCTTTAAATTGCATTTTAAAACATATCTAGGTATTATAAATGATAAAGAATGCTAATATAGATATAAAATCGTTATTTTTTTTTGAAAATAGCCTACTATGATCGAAACCAAAAATGCCTTAAATTGCATTTTAAAACATATCTAGGTATTATAAATGATAAAGAATGCTAATATAGATTTAAACATCGATAACTTATTTTGAAAATAGCCTACTATTATCGAAACCAAAAATGCTTTAAATTGCATTTTAAAACATATCTGGGTAATTTAAATGATAAAGAATGCTAATATAGATATAAAATCGATAATTTTTTTTGAAAATAGCCTACTATGATCGAAACCAAAAATGTTTTAAATTGCATTTTAAAACATATCTAGGTATTATAAATGATAAAGAATGCTAACATAGATATAAAATCGATAATTTTTTTTGAAAATAGCCTACTATGATCGAAACCAAAAATGCTTTAAATTGCATTTTAAAACATATCTCGGCATTATAAATGATAAAGAATGCTAATATAGATACAAAATCGATAATTTTTTTTGAAAATAGCCTACTATGATCGAAACCAAAAATGCTTTAAATTGCATTTTAAAACATATCTGGGTAATTTAAATGATAAATTTTTCGATAATTTTTTTTGAAAATAGCCTACTATGATCGAAACCAAAAATGTTTTAAATTGCATTTTAAAACATATCTAGGTATTATAAATGATAAAGAATGCTAACATAGATATAAAATCGATAATTTTTTTTGAAAATAGCCTACTATGATCGAAACCAAAAACGCTTTAAATTGCATTTTAAAACATATTTAGGCATTATAAATGATAAAGAATGCTAATATAGATATAAAATCGATAATTTTTTTTGAAAATAGCCTACTATGATCGAAACCAAAAATGCTTTAAATTGCATTTTAAAACATATCTGGGTAATTTAAATGATAAAGAATGCTAATATAGATATAAAATCGATAATTTTTTTTGAAAATAGCCTACTATGATCGAAACCAAAAACGCTTTAAATTGCATTTTAAAACATATTTAGGCATTATAAATGATAAAGAATGCTAATATAGATATAAAATCGATAATTTTTTTTGAAAATAGCCTACTATGATCGAAACCAAAAATGTTTTAAATTGCATTTTAAAACATATCTAGGCA